GAGAACTTTTGTGATATGTCCGACATGGTTTGCTGCATAGCTTTGAGGGTTTCGGCCAATGATGTCTCAACGGCGTCTCCTCCGGACATTGTCGCTTATCTCGGAAATGTAGAAAAGAAGAAATCTGACCACTCAAGAATCCTGATATTCCCCACAGACGGCGCCAAAATGTAGATGTCGGATTCACACACTCAAGTATTTTTGTTAAGTGGGAAAGATTATTCTTGAGGGACAAAAATGAATATATAAAAACTTGTAAATTGATACGAAAATTGCTATTTTATTTCTCTCTCGAGAGGAAGATCCCCTTTACATGGCCATCGGCCTCTATATTTATACACCGATAAACGATATTAAAATGAGTAATTAAGCACAATTATTTCTTCTTAAATGTATCCGTTTTGATTCTTCGGCTTTAATGCTCAACGTTTGAATTTGAGTTGACTCTGATCTTCATGGGTCTCGCCTCTTTCGGCCCAAGTGTCCGTGAACCGTCTTACCCGTGTCTTCTACACCGAACTCGTGTCACAGTGCAGTCACCTCGGATTCTCGAAATGGTGACAACCACTTCGACCGTCCCTTCGGCTCACGGGTCCAATGGGCTTCATCCTTTATGGGCCATTATCTTGATCACGTGGCAATCTTTGGTTGGTCTCGTATTTCTGGTGCGGGATCCGACACCAACAATTAGCCATGTTGGTACCGGATCCCGCAAGGGGTCCATTTTACATGTTGGAGAACCATCACTTTACAAAATCCAAGGAGCCCTATCTTGCAAAAGGGGTGGTCAAACTTTGACATTAATTTGTAGTTTAATTCATGAATTAATGGTCATGGTCAAAGGAGTAAACTTGTCATTCAAGTTTAGGAGTTAATTGCCAAAATTGGAGTTATTTAGTGGAGTTAATTCTGAAATTAATGGCCAAGTAAAGACATCCTAGAAGGAAGGAAGAGGCTATAAAAGAGAAGTGAAGACTCCAAGAAAGAGAGACTTATATTCTTGGACACAAGATTCATCCTCTATATTTCTCACTATTATTTTCTCCACAAACTTATACGATCTATTCAACCCATCTTTGTGCTTGTCTAATGAGAGCTTTGTCCCATCTTCAACAATGATGTTACCAACCCTGGGGGGGTTGGGGTTCAACATTTGGCGCCGTCTGTGGGGACATAAAGCTTTCTTACTTCTAAAGCACTAATTCGAGGTGAAGAACAATCAATACTGAGATAGAAATCAACGTCGTAACGATGTCAATCCGAAGCAGAACAAGGTCGTAACGATGATGATTTGGAGACCGACACGTAAAGGTGTTGATCCGAAATGGATCAAAGTTGTAGCGATGACGGTCTCAGTCGTAACGGTGGTGGTCGAAGAAGGACAAAGACATAACGTCCACGGCATTACAACAATGACAACAAGAGGACTAAAACAGTCACATCCCTAAACATGTGACGAGGAGAGCATATGGAGGGATTACACATACTTACAACCATGTCTAAGTTGACATAAATTATTCTTTTTTCTTTTTCTTTTTTGACAGAAACTAAACGGAGCGATTCCAAGTTATTACGTCATACCATTGACAGAGTGAAGAGGATCTAAGTTGATGACTTAACGGAGGTAATCCGAGTCATACCAGAAGCCACCCAAGTCATGATGATGACTTGGTCACACATTTCCCGAAGACTGAAGATCCAAAACATAGCGTCAACGTAATGGCAACGACACGATCTCGTATTGGTGACTTGATGTTACAGTATTGTTACGGCGATGTAGTCATCTCGCAATAATAACTTAGCGTTCAAGTCACAACAGTGACGATTCAAGTCATAATGATGATGAATCGTGGCTTGATACCACAATGATGTTAGCCTTGGTGTTACCGTGACGACTTAACGATGTTGTAGCAGTGGTGTTATAGCTGTGAAAACCTTCACATATCTGGAGTCCAAGGCGAGACAAAGAAGATGAATTCATATTTGTTGATGATGTCGGAAGTCTAAACAATGATGGTCTAAGTCATAACCATGACTTAACCGGAGACGACCTAGTCTCGCACATCCATCTAGGTCATAACGTCATAGTTCAATTCACAACAACCACGAATCCACGATCTAGAGACAAGCTAGTTCTTACATTACGGAGATGATCCAGTCTCTAAACGACCGGTGCGAGGAGACACGCCAAATCAAAAAAGAGATGTTATAGTCTCAGGTCGGAGATAACCTCTCCACCTTAATATTTTGATTCGTCATCATGATGAGTGATTCGATTATAAAATAATCAAAAAAGACGATGGAGCTCGTGGCAATGTGCAAATAAAAGGCTAGAAGGAACTCGTCACCTCCACCTCCTAAATATTTGCTTGGTTACAAAGAAGATGGAGCAATTCCAATTCGTAACGTATCCGAGACAAATGACGAAGTCGTATTGATTGAAGACAATAATTCAAGTTGTTACGAGACCAAAGCAACCGTTGCATTAAAAGATAAAGCTCATTAAATGCAAAATAAAAAAAGTTAAGGCCCAAGCCCAACAAATTTGCCGAGTTGACTAAACCCGAAGTGGGGAACTCGCATTAAGCTGAGCTCAGTTCTCGCACTCTAAGAGAAAGGTCTGATCAACCTAAAAATCTCAAAACATAGCCACAAGGCCAAAAATATTTAAGACGGACTTTGCAAACCCGCGTGCCATTTCGGCAAAACCCTCTTGGGATCATAACCTAAAAAGGTTTAAAAGCTTCCTCAGGCAGATATCTTGTTCAAAAAAAAAAAAAAAAAAAAAAATAATAATAATAAAAAAGCCTCCTTAGGCAAAAGACATACTTATCCAAATTTAAGTTTCAAATAGATGGGACAAGATCTCATCTCGCATCTAAGCCGAGATCTCATCTCGCATATAAAGCCGAGATCTCATCTCGCATCTAAGCCGAGATCTCATCTCGCATATAAAGCCGAGATCTCATCTCGCATATAAAACCGAGATCTCATCTCGCATCTAAGCCGAGATCTCATCTCGCATATAAAACCGAGATCTCATCTCGCATCTAAGCCGAGATCTCATCTCGCATATAAAGCCGAGATCTCATCTCGCATCTAAGCCGAGATCTCATCTCGCATATAAAGCCGAGATCTCATCTCGCACCAAACTTTATTTAAAAAAAAAGCGGAGCCCGTCTCGCGCTAAACTATGTTCAAAAAGCCGAGCTCAATGCTCGCATTTACGTGAATAAGTCTTTAGACAAAAATGAGTTCACCTCGCATCTAACAACAAATTTTGCATGCCTAATCTACTAATCAAAGTTATTGCCGCAGGATTGTCAAGAATATTAGTTCTCCGAGCAAATCATCTTACTCGAAGAACTGGGGGGCTAATGTTGGTACCGGATCCCGCAAGGGGTCCATTTTACATGTTGGAGAACCATCACTTTACAAAATCCAAGGAGCCCTATCTTGCAAAAGGGATGGTCAAACTTTGACATTAATTTGTAGTTTAATTCATGAATTAATGGTCATGGTCAAAGGAGTAAACTTGTCATTCAAGTTTAGGAGTTAATTGCCAAAATTGGAGTTATTTAGTGGAGTTAATTCTGAAATTAATGGCCAAGTAAAGACATCCTAGAAGGAAGGAAGAGGCTATAAAAGAGAAGTGAAGACTCCAAGAAAGAGAGACTTATATTCTTGGACACAAGATTCATCCTCTATATTTCTCACTATTATTTTCTCCACAAACTTATACGATCTATTCAACCCATCTTTGTGCTTGTCTAATGAGAGCTTTGTCCCATCTTCAACAATGATGTTACCAACCCTGGGGGGGTTCGGGTTCAACAGACGCCTCTTTCTTGCCATCCACTCCGGGTTCGTTCCGAACAGGTTTGCAAGGATTGTCGTCCTCCTTCTCGTCCTCCTCTTCGCTGTCAAGATGGGCGACTTCGACCGGGGTATTCACGGGTCCCGGAACCTGACCTCTACCGTGGAGATACATCCGGAGAATCTTCGGGATCTCCGCGATAGAATCAAAGTTCCTCCACTCCTATTGAAAAGGGTCACTCTCCAGAGCCCTCACCTTCCTCTCCACTCGAGCAATGCGGGCCTCGAGTGTTTGCCTTTTAAGACCTAGCCGCTGCCTCTCATCGCACAAACGGCGATGTTTGTCGACAACCTGTCATAGAAACGAGTAAATTAAGGAGAAGGACAGAAGAGTTTGATCAAGAAAGATGGATACTAACCTTGTCCATGAAGTCATAAGCCTCTTTATTTTCCTTCGAAGGAAAGTGAAACACGACGTGAGGAAAAAGAACACCTGCCGGCTCGAAACTATCGCCGGACAGGATTAGTGGGCTGCCAGGGTCAACCGGGGTTACGTTTTTGTTTTCCATCCTTGTGATGTTTATCGAGTGAATCTTTAAGTCCTTTGAAGAAAGTACAGGGGCAAATAAGCCCCTATTTATAATAGGATTAGGGTTTGTCTTGGAAACAAAAATTCAATAATGGTGGCGTGACCGAATGGTTTAAACCATTTTTGGAAATCGGGAAAAGGTAATTATTGCCTTAAAGGCGTGTAGTTTTTCCTGTTTCTCAAGGAATGGGAAAAGCAACAGTCGCATTAAAGACAAAGTTCATTAAATGCAAAGTAAAAAAGTTAAGGCCCAAGCCCAGTAAGTGTACCGAGTTGACTAAACCCGAAGTGGGGAACTCGCGTTAAGCCGAGCTCAGTTCTTGCATTCTAAGAGAAAGGTCTGATCAGCCTAAAAATCTCGAAAACATAACCACAAGGCCAAAAAGTGTTAAAAGCGGACTTTGCAAACCCGCACATTGTTTTAACCAAACCCTCTAGGGATTATAACTTGAAAAGGTTTAAAAGCATCCTCAGGCAAATATCTTGTTCAAAAGAAAATAATATTAAAGCCTCCTCAGGCGAAAAACATATCCAAATTTAAAATTTAAGTCTTCAAATAGATGGGACAAGCCCCAGTTTATAGTGGGCACAACCACTACGGGTCATCATCCATCTCGGGCTCGACTTCGGTTGACGAGGGTTCATTCAGCTCCTTGGCCGGGACTTGTTCAGAGGATGTTCCCTGCTCGCTTCCAACAGCACAATCATCGTCCGGGATGACCACCTGTACGGCAGGAACCTCAGATGGGGCAGCACCTTCCGTCTCACTTGGACCTAGGAAGAACAGTTCCTATTAGTCAAAAATAAAAAGCAAAGTAGAGGACAAGTGTCAAGGAGTATGAACTTACCAGCCCAGTCTAAACCCGATTCACCCAAGGGAGGTGACTTGGTGAAGAACTCCTCAACTGCTGAGGGTTGAAAGAGGAAGCGGGAATGGCTGCGAAGCGACTTCGTTTTTCGGCTAAACTAGCCGTCAGCTCGGACCTTTCTTGCTCTTCGGAGAAACCCTCTTCATGAATTTGGTCTAGCAAGAGTAAATTGCTCTCGTTCTCCTTGATATCCGATTCAAGCACCGATCGTGCCTTCTCGGTTTGCATGAAACGGATGGCCCCTTGAATCAACTCCATCCCGTGTCCCTTGACCTCTTTCCTGGCCTTTGATGCCGACCTTGCCAACTCGGAGTCCCGCAGCTTGACGATCGCCTTGTACTTCGCGTTAAGTTCGACGAGTTGGTTATTCAAGGAATAGGCGGTTGATTCGGATTCGGAGAGTCTACCTTCAACGCCGGAAAACTCATCCTGAAGTTGGCAATTCCGTTCGTACTGGTCTTGTAGCTCACTTTTCACTTTTGCGAGTTCGGATGTGAGATTGTCGACTCGGTCTTCCAATTCATGCTTAGAGCCGGAAGAAGAGCGGAGGTCATCCTCGAGAGCAGAAAACTTGCCCTTCCACGTGTCAATCTCCTGTTGCCGACTGAGAAACAGTCCCTCGTAGTGTTCAACCATGTCGTTGATTTTGCTGTTTGCCTAACATTTTACATAAACTCAGGATGGTGAGTCAGTACAAAGAATGATAACGAAACCAGAAACCAGAAAAATAAAATGGCACCAACCCGGGATGAATGATACGCATGTAGTAAGAAGCGTTCGCGAATTGCAGGGCGCCACTTGTCGAAATCTAGCAGGATCGCACCCGATCGGGTTTTGAAGCATCGAAAGACGCTACCCTCTTTCTCCATGGCTGTGAAGACAGAAGGAGAAGAGTTGTAGAATTTGGAATGTGAGCAAGATGAAAATTTAAAAGTATGTATGAATAGCCGTCAGACCTGAAAGCGATTTGCTCTGAGGGACGAGTACAACCTTCGACTTCGGGAGAGTATCTCGAGACTCAGTACCCCCCTTTTTAGGAGACGCGCTCCGGACAGTCTTCTCGCCACTATGTTGGGAAGAGGAAGACATGTCAACAGGAGGAGGGGGAGCCATTGGTTGGGAAGGAGAAGACGATTGAGGGGAACTGCCAGTCCGGGCCCTAGACTTCTCCCTCCGAGGAGAAGAGTCACTGCGAGATGACCTTTCTCTCTTTTGGCGAATCAGATTCTTAAGAGGTTCGTTGCTAAAATCATCTCGTGAAGAAGGACGAGGAGATCGAGTTCTCCGAGGAGAACGGTCACCGAGGCATTCACGACGAGGAGTCAACCTGAAAGCACCGGCAGATCTGGCCCCTTCGCCGCTACCATCATCAACCAGTAAGGTCCTACTATAGTCCTTCTTGTCGATAGTAGTCGCAAGAAACTCCTTGTTCTCCTCACAAGCCTCAGTTATCGGCTTGGAGAGAACATTACGCCTAGCCGCGAGGGCCTGAGCTGACAGTCCCTGAGTTGAGGGAGGAGGTGGCAGACGATGAAGTTTACCTGGGGGACTCATCCTGAGTATGTGGTTGGCTTCTATAAATCGCTCAAGAGTGAAGGAATTCCAAAGGGTTTCTCCTTCGAGGACTATTTTGAAGAACCCGATGAATTTTTCAGACGGGAGGGTCGGAGCAATGAAAGCTGCGAAGTGAAACAAAAAGTTTAGTCAGTAAAAAATACTAAGATGATCGAAAAAAGTATTTGTGACCTAATTTCTACCAGGCTTCGCAGACAACTTCGATGGGAGCACTTCAGAAAGATTTCCAATCGAAGCAGGAGTTTTCTTAATCAGAAACCAAGGATAATGCCAATTCTCATCCTTGTTCGGTAGGTGCGAGATGAGGTTCCTGTTGGCGTTCGGGTACACCGAGAAGTACTCTATTTTCTTTGACGAACTCCTCACGCTAAGAAGCTCGTTCAATTCGAGGACCCCGATAATATATCCGGCCTCCGCTGCCACGGTTATAATCCCTAGGATGGTTTGGAGGAGGTTGGGGTTAATTGGGGTAAAGCAATCTCAAGAGCTGCTAAGTATCGGACTAGGGCTTCAGGAAGGGGAAAGGTTAATCCGCAGCCCTTGAAATAGATCTCGTATACGCAAAAGTAGCCATCACGGTGGTTCTCCGGGGATTCCGTAGGATCGGCCACCTGTGATTCCGCCATGATTCCAGGCGAAATCTGGCAAAGCTCTTTCAGTCGTTCGAGAGATTGAAGAGTACAGGTGGATCTGAAGTGAGGACCAGCGATGTCATTAGGACGAGTGCATTCGTCGTTGCTAGAACGTCTCTCATCGTAAGTCGGAGACTCAGGTCTGTTGAATTCGGAAGTCATCGAGAAGAAGAAAAATTTGGGTCGAGAAGGAGAAATTTGGCAAAGAAAGCAGGGAGAATTTTAATCTAAAAAAAAAGAGAGAGAAGAGTAAAAGTAAAGAATAAAAAGTTTACCTCACGCAAGCTGAGTAGTGATGATGGAACCGCCTTAAGAGTCGTGGGGGAAGTGGGAAGGGTTTCCCGCTTTAATAGTAATTAATTAATATGCAGTCATAATGGTGACAGTTGTCAATCGGGCAAAAATGGATAGTGCCGAAATTAAAGAAGTGATGGGATTTTCGGCCGGAAATCAGAAGATTCTTAAGCGCAATCTTTGGTCATTAAAGTATTAAAATCTTCCGAACTAGAGTAACACTTCGGAAGACTTGGGGGGCTAATTGTTGGTGTCGGATCCCGCACTGATGGTTCGGGACCAACCAAAGATTGCCACATAAGCAGAAGTGAAGCCCACAAGGGATAAGGCCCACTAGATCCACAAGCTAAGGGCATGGGCGAGGTGGTTACACCGCGAAGAGAGATCGAAGTGGTTGCACCTCGAGATGAGAACGAAGTCGAAATCAAGGATAGTTCGGTTCAGGACTATTTGGGCTAAAGGGCGAAGCCCATGAAGACCGGAGTCAATTCAAATTTGAACGTTTAAGCAATAAATTCAAAGACCAAAACAGATACATTTAAGATAAAATAATTGTATTTAATTAGGAATTAAATATGTTTTGCAAGTATAAGTAGGAGGGCTAATTGCCATGTAAGGGGAGACCCAATTTTCTTTCTAGCAAATATAAAATAGCCTTTTTCATACCAATTCATAGCTTCTCAATATCAATTTTTTTCCTCAAGAATAATCCTTCTCACTAAATAAACAAATACTTGAGTGTGTGAATCCGCCATCACAGCTAGGAGAAAGAAATTTAAGACCTTCTTTTGGTTTCCAAATAGAGTAGTCTATATAATGCATATTCTAAAACAACCTCTTTATGTACAATAAAAAAATTTTATGTAGGAAAATCAATCAATAATGAGACAAAAAAACAGAAAATGAGAGTCTAAATTTTATTTATCACACAAGAATATCTCTACAGACCACCCACATCATAAGTACCATATCCAGAAAACAAACAATGTATTTTCTTGAAAAGATGAGAACATGCAGGATCAAGTAAAAGCTTTGATCAGATAATTTTAGACTGAATGATTCGATAGATGACTGATTATATTTGATCGACAAGACGAAAAAAAACGAAAGCTCGAAAACAGTCTCTTTATGTTAATTGGATAATCAAGAAGAAATTTTTATGTAAGAAAATCAATCAATCATGAGACAAAAACCGGAATATGAGAGTCTAAATTTGTTTTTTTTTTTTTTTTTTTTTTTTTTCCTTCTAAAGGCTTTTTATTAAAACTTATCAAAGATCATTGTTTACAACGGTATTAAGAAACATTGGACATGAGTGGTACATACACCATTGGTTTGGAGAAGTTCTAATGGTCTTTGCTAGTAATTCCGCACACTGATTTTGTTGACGATGCGTGAATAGAAACTTTGCATCCAGAAACTTATCTCTCCATCCCCATATCGTGTTTAAGAAGTGATTGAGCCGTGGGTTCAAAGCAGAGCCATTGATTATTCGGATTACATTTTGATTATCTCCTTCGAACTCGACCGCTCAATATCCTAGTGCCCAAGCTGCTTGCATTGCCCATATTAAAGACGTGCACTCTGCTTCTTCTGTTGTCATCCTCCCTTGAAATTGACCCATCCCACAATCCTGAAAAACTCCATGAGAATTGCGTATAATCCATCCGAGACCGGAGACTTGATTACCTTCATGGTGTGAGACATCATAATTACATTTAAGCCATCCTCTTTTCGGTTTTCTCTATTTGTAACTGCGCTTCATGGTGCTATGTCTCTTAACTGAGTTTGGATCATCATGGTGTGTGTTATCTAGCCATTCCTTCGTATCTATACTTGCCTGGTTAAAGATATCGTTTGGTTCCACTAGGCGTTGGTTAAAAACTAAGTCGTTCCTGCTTTTCCACACCCGCCACATTATCCACCAAGGTAAGAACCGTGTTAACGGTTCGATTTGTGGATCTTCATGTAGTTTGAATAAGTATCGAAGCTTGTCTTCAATAGGTGTTCCAAGGTCACCGATGCACATCGTTTGGAATCCTGCAGCTCTCCACACTAAAATGACCTGTGGGCATGTGAAAAACATGTGATTGCTTGTTTCCAAATTTGAGCAACAATGGGCGCAAAATGGATTGATATTAATGTTTCGGCGACGCAAGTTTTCCGCTGTCCCAATTTCTCGGGATGCAAGTCTCCACAAGAAATGTTTTAATTTAGGAGTTATGTTCAGCTTCCAGATACTGGTTGCAATGTCTGGGGACGTTGCAAGTGGAGGTTTAGGCTCCTCTTCGGTCACTCCTATGCTTATCTCTGTCCAATATCCAGATTTAACTGTGTAATTCCCATCCTTTGTTGGGATCCAAATGTAATAATCCTTTGTTGGCAATGTAGGCAAATAGATTTTATGAATGAGATGGTGATCTTCTGGTTGGATTAGCCTCTGGATTTGACCTTCATCCCATTGTTGTGTCCTTGGGTTAATGAGATTTTTGACTGCCAATTCTGGTGCTACTCCGTCTCTTAGCTTGGGTGTCCTTGGGGGCATCGTTGGAAGCCATGGGTCACTGCCAAGCTTAATAGTTTCACCATCCCTGATACTAAATTGTATCTTTTGTCGCAGCAGTTCACGTCCAAAACGGAGGGAATTCCAGCCATAAGATGGTTGTGTCCCACGTCCTGCGGAAAAGAAAGAAGCATCGCGGAAGTAACGGCCTTTGAGGATGCGAAACAGAAGGCAATGTGGTCGCTGGATTATTTTCCATGCCTGATTCGCAAGAAGTGCTTTGTTAAAAACATGGAAATCGCGAAAACCCATTCCTCCCGTGTTTTTTGGCGTGATCATTTTACGCCATGCTACCCATGAGAGTTTTCGTTTCTCTCTTGTTGTACCCCACCAGAATCTTGCAATCATTCGATCGATTTCAGAACATAGCTCCATGGGAAGTTGAAAACAATTCATAGTATAAACTGGCAATGCATATGCTACAGCTTTAATAAGTGTTTCTTTTCCCGCATCCGATAGAAACCTTATTTGCCATCCCTCTAGCTTTCTCTGTACCCGTTCTTGTATATATTGGAACATGTCCTTTTTCCTTCTTCCAAATTGCTCCGGTAATCCCAAATATTTACCTCCGCCTCCTATATTTGGGATTTGGAGAATCCGCATTATTCCTTCTCTTGTATGTTGGAACACTTTGGAGCCGAAAGGTATTGCTGATTTTTCCAAGTTGATCATTTGTCCCGAGGCTTCTTCATATTCATTGAATATTCGTGAGAGATTTTCACTGTTTTTGTGGTCTACTTTCACAAAGAATAAGGAGTCATCAGCAAATAAAAGGTGTGAGACCGCCGGGCCTCTGTTGCTAACCCGAATACCATTGATTTTCCCTTCTTTATGCGCTTGTAGCATAAGAGAGCTTAGCACATCCGCGCATAGTATAAACAGTGACGGTGACAGCGGGTCACCTTGATGTAATCCTCGGGTTGCATTGAAGTGTCCAAAAGGACTACCAATTGATCAATACAGAGAAAGAAACTGACCGAAGACACTCCATAACCCATGTTATCCATTGATTCGCGAAGCCCTTTTTCCTTAAAACTTCCTCTAGAAACCCCATTCGATTCGGTCATAAGCTTTGCTTATATCGGTCTTAACCGACATATATGAACTGGCACAGCGTTTACGAACCTTTAGAGAGTGAAGAACCTCGTGAGCTATAAGTACATTGTGATGAATCTCCCTGGAATAAACGTGGCTGGAATAAACCTGGAATTTGTTTATCACACAAAACTATCTCTACAAAATCAGCCACATGATAAATACATGGGCTACAAATGGTTGTTTTAAGTTGAATGGATTGAATATAATAAGTTGGAAAATATTAAGTTGAAAATCATTCAATCCATTCATCTCCAAAATTGTAGTTGAATGAGTTGAACATTTTTGCTGTAGAATTTGTTCAATTTTTCAGGTTTTTAAGTTGAATGGGTTGAATCTTTTTTTCAACTCTTTCATTTCAAATGGTGAAAAATTAGTTGAATGTTCATTCAACTCTTTCAGTTTGGTATTTTTTGTCAACCATTTGCAGCCCATATCTAGAAAACAAACAATGTCTTCTCTTGAGATTATATGAACACATATAAGATCACATAAAAACTTTGATTAAATCATTTTAAAATGAAAACGATTCA